ATGTGAGGCCGCGAACTCATAGTGTGGGAGCACGGGGCTGGGGTGGCCCAGCCGTCCCCAGAACACTGAGCTACCCACTTCTGTCTCCCCACTACAGCCTGATCCGCTTGGCACGTGCTGCTAGTGGTCAGCGTTCTGCTAGCCTGCCAGCTTTGCACCCCCTGGGTGGGAGGAGAATAGCGGACGGATGATCCAGGTGCAGGAGGAGGCAGCCCGGGCTCAGAGGTGTCTGGAGACCTTGGTCAGACAGCGAGGCACTGGCACTGTGTTCAAGCACCCTGTGCCCTGACTTCCACTATCTCTGACGTGTGCACCCCTCACCAGAGAGGACTGTCTGTGCCCTTGTTCCCTGCTGTGTTCCTGTGATAAAATAGACTAGGCATTACAGGTTCTTCTGGAAGGTCCGAGCTGTGGCTGTCTTGCTTAAAGCTGAGAAGGCAGGAGGAGGAACACAGAAACCTTCTGAACCCGGAGGCGGGCAGACCGGGAGAGAGAGCAATGTGTGGGTGTGCTTGCTGCTCCGCGGCCTCCAGCTCTCCCTTCTTGTAGGCCACCTCCTCCATTCCCTCTTCTAAAGGACCTTGCCTTTCCTACACAACTCCATTTCATCCACAGCCGGTGGAGTGCTGGCCCTTTTTTTTTTTCTTTGTGTCTCCTAACTTTTTTTATTAAAATAAATTTTAATTGTGGTAAAATACACATAATGTAAAACGTATCATTTAGCCAGTTTTAAGTGTGCAGTTCTGTGTCACTGAGGGCATTCATGTTATTATGCAACCGTCACCACCTTCCACCTCCAGCACTTTCTCATCTTCCCAGACTGAACCTCTATTCATTAAACCACAACGTGTCCCCACACTTCCAGCCCCTGCTACCACCGTTCCACTTTCTGTCTTTCTGTCTCTATGAATTTGATCACTCTAGGAACCTCATATAAGTGACATTACATAGAGTCTCCTTTTGTGTCTGGCTTATTTCGCTGACCACGATGTCCCCAAGATTCATCCCTATTGTAGCGGGAGTCAGAGCTTCCTGCCTTTCTAAGGCTGAAGGGTATTTCATTGTATGGATAGACTGCATTTTGTTGATCCATTCATCTGTCAGTGAACACGTGGGGTGCTTCTACCTTTTGGTTATTGTAAATAACCCTGATGTGAACATGGGTGTGCAAATAGCTGTTCAAGTCCCTGCTTTCAACTCTTTTGGGTGCATACCCAGAAGTGAGATTGCTGGGTCATATAATTCTGTTTCGTTTTTGTTGTTTGTTTATTTGTTTGTTTGTTAGAGGAAACACCTGACTGATTTCCATAGTGGCTGGACCGTTCTGCATTCTCATCAGCTGTGTGTAAGGGTTCCAGTTTCTTCACATCCTTGCCAACTTGTGATTTTTTGATAGCATTTTTTGATAGTAGCCATCCTAATGGGTGTGAGGTGCTGCCATCATTTCTTTTTGAAATCAGGTGTCCAATGCATGTGGTCTGAAAACTTAATAGGATTCTAAAGAGGCCACATCACATCTAAAATGTCTGCGTAGGTCTGTACTGTCAGGCAAACACGTGTGCACTTTGAGTACACAGGCACACATCACTCTCACCTCTGTCTGTGCCCGGAGCATGATTCCAGTTGGTTCTTGGTGTCGAGGTTGTCAGTGATGGTGGCCTGGTACCTGGTGAGACCCCATTTGCCAGAAGCACATGTGCACTGCTCCCTTGGGAAGACAGAGGTCTCCGAGTGTGTTTGTTTCTTGGCTTCAGAACCATGACCACGCCTGCATCGCCTGTCGGATCATCTATCGGTCAGACGAGCACCACCCTCCCATCCTGCCCCCGAAGGCAGACCTGACCATCGGCCTGCACGGGGAGTGGGTGAGCCAGCGCTGCGAGGTGCGCCCCGAAGTCCTCTTTCTCACCCGCCACTTCATCTTCCATGACAACAACAACACCTGGGAGGGCCACTACTACCACTACTCAGACCCGGTGTGCAAGCACCCCACCTTCTCCATCTACGCCCGGGGCCGCTACAGCCGCGGCGTGCTCTCCTCTAGGGTCATGGGAGGCACGGAGTTCGTGTTCAAAGGTAGGATTCCCATCTCGAGTCCAGTATCACAGCCGATACACAGCCCTGTGACATTGTTGTGGAGGCAGAGCTGAGGGAAGGGACCTCATTTCTGCCTGAGTTCCTAGGAAAGAAATCGGGGAGCCATTTCTGCCTCAGTCCCTCCCAGCGCCCTCTGAGTCTCTCCCTGCTCAGAATGGATCAGGGGGACAGCCTCCGCTTGCAGGCCCGAGTGCGGGAGGCGTCCACTCCGCTGCATGTGGGACGTTGCCAGTCCAGGGAGGATGTTACTGGGAATGAAATCTCTGGCCAGGTACGGAGGCTCATGCCTGTAATCCCAACACTTTAGGAAACCAAGGCAGGAGGATCTCATGAGGCCAGCAGTTTGAAACCAGCCTGGGCAACAGAGTGAGGCCCTAACTCTATAAAAAATAAAATAAATTAGCAGGATGTGGTGGCATTTGCCTGTAGTCCCAGCTATTCTGGAGGCTGAGCTAGGAGGATCGCTTGAGCCCGGGAAGTTGAGGCTGCAGTGAGATATGATCGTGCCACTGTACTCCAGCCTGGGCAACAGAGCAAGACCCCGTCTGTAAAAAACAAAAAAAGCAATCTCAAGTCTGCACTTTGTGTTTTTTGTACACAGCTCTGGCGGATTCCATGCTGCCCCTTAATAACACTGCAGTTGCTTGCGTGCCACAGTGCTTTCTCGAGCGGGCAGGAAAGAGGTATTAGTGACACCTCAGGTGCTCAGAGCTGCCCTTTCCAACCCTGAGCTTGTCGTGTAATTGAGAGGTTGTCACCTGCTTGGAGGTGGGAGCATCTGTGGGAAGGTTCAGGCTGTGTCCTTATCACTAAATGAGGAGGGGAGGGAGGAGCTACACCAGGCTGCCAGCAACAAAGCGGGACTTGTGGTTGCTATTTTTAGAAGGTTGCTTTTTTTTTTTTTTTTTAAGTTTGAGCATCTTTATAAAATGGTGTTGGCCCTATCATGCCAGATAAAGAGGGACAGCCTCGATCCCAGGTGACTCCTCCAGGATGGCATTCCAGGGTTCAGTCCCATTGCTATAAAATGTTTCTGTTAACCCAGAAAGTCCTGGAAGACTTTAGCCCTCCTTTTGGGTAGCAAGGTTTGCTCCAGGAATACAGGCCCTTTGAGAAACTTAATTGAGAGCAAGCGATCTTTACATTACTCCACCCCGAAGCTCATCGCGTTGTACACGGAAGTGGCCCCCTGGAGGGACCTTCAGAAGCAATTCTCCACAAAAGCTGGGATTTGTATTTAATTTATTTACTCACATTTGTCTTGCTTGCAGCCTAACTTATTTTAGATGCCTGATGTATGGGCCCGTAGGAATGTGTGAGAATGCCAACTAGAATAGGTGTTTGACACCAAAACTTTTAGAAACCCGAAAACCTTTTGATAAAAGCAAAATTCCAGCCTTTGTTGAGTATTTTTTTCAATCCCAAGGAGTCAGCATCACCAAATAAAACTCCTTAGGAGCACTCCGAGCTGTAGTTGTATTTCTTGCCTGCAGGCGCTCCCAGCTGTATTCCGGGCTCAGTGTTTCCACACCAGATGGTCTGTGTCGCGTGGCCACACCTGCAGCCTATCGGTGTTACTGCCACCCAGATCAACAGGTTGAACTCTTCCCCGCCTGACAGTGCTTTGACGGCTACTGCAGTCAGACGGGTGGGTCCGTAGGTGGGACTGTTTTTGGAAGGGAAGCCTTGTCTCATTAGAGTGTGGCCAGTGTTTTCTGGATCCCAGGCCTACTCCCTGGAGTCATGGAACTCTCCTCTCTCCTTTGCAGTGAATCACATGAAGGTCACCCCCATGGATGCAGCCACAGCCTCACTGCTCAACGTCTTCAACGGGAATGAGTGTGGGGCCGAGGGCTCCTGGCAGGTGGGCATCCAGCAGGATGTGACCCACACCAATGGCTGCGTGGCCCTGGGCATCAAACTACCTCACACGGAGTACGAGATCTTCAAAATGGAACAGGATGCCCGGGGGCGCTATCTGCTGTTCAATGGCCAGAGGCCCAGCGATGGGTCCAGTCCAGACAGGCCAGAGAAGAGAGCCACGTCCTACCAGATGCCCTTGGTCCAGTGTGCCTCCTCTTCGCCGAGGGCAGAGGACCTCGCAGAAGACGGTGGAAGCCGCCTGTATGGCCGGGCCCCTGGGAGGCACACCTGGCCCCTGCTGCTGGCTGCACTCGCCTGCCTTGTCACTCTGCTGCATTGGAACATCCGCAGATAGAAGTTTCAGAAAGTTGTATTTTTCCAAACCAGGATTCCTTGCTATTGACAGATTTTCTTTACCGAAAGAAAAGACATTTATTCTTTTGATGCACTTGAATGCCAGAGAACTGTCCTTCTTTTTCTCCTCTCCCTCCCTCCCCGCCCCTGAGTCATGAACAGCAAGGAGTGTTTGAAGTTTCTGCTTTGAACTCCGTCCAGCCTGATCCCTGGCCTGAGCAACTTCACAACAGTAATTGCACTTTAAGACAGCCGAGAGTTTTGGACGAGCGTGTTTGGTAGCAGGGATGAAAGCTAAGGCCCTCTTATTTTTTTCTCTTAATTATTATTATATTTCTGACTTAAACTTAGAAGAAACAACTATCAAGCTACAGTTTTTCCTGCCATTTTCCTGTGGTTGCAGCCTGTCTTCCTTTGAAATTGTTTCACTCTCTGAGTTTTATATGCTGGAATCCAATGCAGAGTTGGTTTGGGACTGTGATCAAGACACCTTTTATTAATAAAGAAGAGACACAGGTGTAGATATGTATATACAAAAAGATGTACGGTCTGGCTAAACCACCTTCCTAGCCTTTATGCAAAAAAAGGGGAGAATCAAAGCTTCCATTTCAGAAATGTTGCGTGGAAAAGTATCTGTAATTAAAGTTTCGAAGTAATTTAACCTATTTTTACATCATTTGTCTTACCTTGTTGAGAGACGAGGCTCGCTTGTTGGCTTCTGGTTGTTGTAGGAGGCATGTGGCTTCCCAGCCCTCTCAGTAGACAGGATCACTGGGAAAATAGCAACATCAATCCCGTTACACAGGAGCGGTGACACAGGGGTGGCTGCAGAGTGGCACACGCCACACAAATGATAGAGAAAGTGCCCGTTCATTGCAGTTTCCTCTTCCTGGGGGACCTGAACCCTGATTCACACTGTCTTGTTAGGGGCAGGCAGAGGAAGCTGCACTCTAGTATCCATGCCACCTTCTAAGATGGACATGCAGAGACAGAACTTTAGCTGCTCAGAGAGAGTACAGTGGGCATGGTCTGCCCTGGGGGCTTGCTCCATCAGACCCTGATTTGGCATGCAACCAAATCTTTGTGTGAAGCCATCCTATCGTTGCACACACTGACCCACTCAGTGTCTTTCCTGCCGCTGATGTGGCTCTGTGCTGGCGGTTTCAGGCCAGTGCGCTTCTTCGCAGGGACATTAGGAGGGCGCAGGAGCGCATGTCTGCCCACTCCTTTGGAGTATCGCGGATGGTGCTATCCAGCACCAAGTGTTACTGTTCACAGACACTGAGGAAGGGAAACAGGAGTAACTGAAAGCCAGATGGAACAAAAGCAAACATGGAAACCATGATCACGGCGAAGAGCCATCCTGGTATTTAAGAATTAACTTTATGAAATACTGCAGCATTTGGTGTGGCATTAAGTTATAATGACCGCATAGAGTACCAAAGTGCTTTATATTTAGAATATATTTTAAGTTGTGGTGCAGACTGAGGGGGCTTATTCAAAATGAAAATACTAACGTAAATGTCTACCAAGTTCAATAAACAAAGATGTCAAAATACTCTCACAAATACATTTTATCTGTGGATCTATTTAATACTGAGACTATCTTTAAAAGACATAATAGGCCGGGTGCGGTGGCTCAAGCCTGTAATCCCAGCACTTTGGGAGGCCGAGACGGGCGGATCACGAGGTCAGGAGATCGAGACCATCCTGGCTAACACGGTGAAACCCCGTCTCTACTAAAAACAATACAAAAAAACTAGCCAGGCGAGGTGGCGGGCGCCTGTAGTCCCAGCTACTTGGGAGGCTGAGGCAGGAGAATGGCGTAAACCCGGGAGGCAGAGCTTGCAATGAGCTGAGATTCGGCCACTGCACTCCAGCCTGGGCGACAGAGCGAGACTCTGTCTCAAAAAAAAAAAAAAAAAAGACATAATAAAATCATGTGAAAAACTGCATTCAATGCTGAAGAATACCTCAGTGACTTACCACAATTCAGTTCACAGGCACTCCCCTAGACTCAGCTATTGGTGCTTCTTAAAAATATGCTATATATACACACATATACATATACGCAAATATATAGATATTAACGTGTATACAATGTATGTGCATATATATATTTCTTAAGGATGATATGAAATTCATGTGGTCTTACCACTTTCTGATACAACATAAATCCGTACCAACAAGAAACAATATAATTTACTCACGGGTCACCCGCACCTTAGCTTTCTGCCTGATGCCATCTCACCCACATACACTCCATCTTATCTTGGTTGTGTCATGTGAGCACAAATAAGACTCTAAACTCCCCCGTGTCCCACGATGATCTCCACGTTACGGGATTTCCCATCACCTCCAAGAAACAGTGATTGACCTCTAAGAGCCGTTCAGGTTTGAGTGTCAGAAATGTTAACTCGAGACCATGGCGCTCTCTCTGAGGAAGGCGTGTCTGGTCCTTAAATATTCTATCACAAGCTTAAAGTACACAGCATGCAATCAGTGCTGGCCAGCCTCCCCCTCAGTTAGGAGCAGGTCATTCTACGTGGGAATACCAGATTCAGGGAAGGTGGCGAAGAGCGAATAAGACCTGCTGGGACCAGGCTTCCTCCCCTGGGGAGCAGGCTGATGAGGGCCAGGTCGAAAAGCTTTTCTTTGGGCAATAGTAAAATCTGGGTGTCATTTAGACTTCTACTTCATACCATCCAAGTTGACCTGGGGCTCAAAAGGAAATTCCTGGCCTTCTGACTATAGCTGGTACAGAACTAAAGGTCGGTTTGCTTAGACATGACAAGTTCCACTGTCAGAGAGCAGGATCACACATCACACTCAGGTCTGCCACCTCCAGGTGACATCATCGTAGCAGTCCGCAACAGTTGTCTGATCCCGTGGGGGCATGCTACGGTAACTCAGCACACCACCACGAAGGGCCTGTCAGGGAGGCTGGCAGCCCAGCACATCCCTGATACGGACCACACGCACCTGTGGGAACAACTTGACTGTCAGGCTCTTGTGGTTTCTGGGTGAACGAAGAGCTTTACTGATAACAAACAAGCCATTCTCTATTCCACTAACTCTTAAAATAAATTCTGAAAACAAAGATGATCTTCACAACGGTGTTGTGTTTTAACATTGCAATGTTTTGTCTTAACATGGTACACCCAATCCTTGGAAGACAAACTAGGAACACAGCAATGGGATACCGAAGTCAGCAGACAGCATCTAATTAGGCATTTCGGGACACTGTCCTCAAAGGAAAATGCCAGAGAGCCTGGGGACAGGGAGAGAGTGGGTCCACTCACACACAGAGACCTTCCCTACCCCACACAGCCTTCTTTGGCTTTCTTGAGATATCTGAGCTTTCTTTCTGTTTTGTTTGTGGGGTTTTTTTTGTTTTTTTGTTTTTTTTTTGAAACAGAGTCTCTCTCTGTCTCCCAGGCTGGAGTGCAGTGGCGCAATCTCGGCTCACTGCAAGCTCCACCTCCCAGGTTCACGCCATTCTCCTGCCTCAGCCTCCCAAATAGCTGGGACAACAGGCACCTGCCACCATGCCCGGCTAATTTTTTGTATTTTCAGTAGAGACAGGGTTTCACCATGTTAGCCAGGATGGTCTTGATCTCCTGACCTTGTGATCCACCCACCTCGGCCTCCCAAAGTGCTGGGATTACAGGCGTGAGCCACCACACTTGGCCGACATCTGAGCTTTCATGAGTCCAAACATCTTTCAGGAAATATCTGCATCAAGAACAAATGCAGTTTGGATCAATGTTTCCCACCAATTTCTAGATTTATGAGAAAATGCCAAGCGTTCTTTTCTTACCAGTAAGAGAATCACATGTCCTAAAGAAAACAATTAAATTCTTCAAATCCCCAAATCTAAGACTGTTCCTGAGTCTTCCTGGCTTGGGTCAACAATCTCGAAATACAAAATTGGGCTCCTGTTTGGTCACAATCCCATTTTCCTGGTGTTTGACTAGGCAGAAGTAACACTGTCTTGGAAAAAAAGTTAGAGAAGTATGGCCTTCAACTTCTCCATCGGCTGAGATGTGATCAAATTGACACACTGCACTTTATATAGTCATACCTAGTCAAGAGAGACCTACCTGATGCCACCCAAGCTGTGAAACTGGACGCACATGCACCCTTTTACTCCAGTGCACAGTTGCTGTTGAAAGCAGGTGGCAGTGTGTGACCCTCACCTCCCATTCCAAGAATAAGACCATGGTTTCCACAGGCTCAGCTCGGTCGCTTTGTTTCTGATGTCTATGGAACAACCACCTCCATCGCCTACGGCCTCTGAAATACTCCATGAGCATTTCCACCCCCTCTTCATTTAATGAATTTCATGCCGCTGTTACACTAGAATTCAGAAGCACAAGAGAGTTTGTGAGCACAGATTGCTGTGCTTTGCAGCCTCAGCCTCTCAAACTCTGTTGATCAAAGTCTTGTCTTCCTGAGCTGGAGGAAGGATTGGCACTCTTGCCGGCCTCTAAGGAGTTGCTCCAGCCTTTTTCTCAGGAAGTTGCTTCTTCTCAAGTGAAATGAAAGGCAGAGGAGAAACTTCCAGAAGGCTGGAAATTGTATTTTCCAAGGGCTTTAGGCATTTGAGGCCTAAGTCTTCTTTCTGTAGCTGATGAGGCTACATATGCAAGACAATTAAGAGACTTTGACCTTCAGAAAATCAAGATGATAGTAAACTAGTGAGGACCACTATCTACTAAGAGAGCTCACATACAGAACATCTTTCTATCTCCTCAATAAAACAGTCCAGATTCTCACAGGCTAGGAGTAGGGTAATACATCTGCCATGAGATCAGTTTATTTAGAGGGAAAAACTGAGATATCTGTTGCGTGTTGAAGTTTTATCCTCCAACTCATTTAGGAAATGAAGCTGTTTTATATCTAGATTCCAGCATTACCTATATGAAAGAAAATAGTTCATTAGCCTCATAGGATCCTTAACTCATAGCATTTTTTAAAGTCCCTTAAAAGAGCCTATAGTCTCCTACAGGTTCTAATGCAGAAGAGGGAATACCCCGTTATATCAGAAGTAAGCAGTTCGGCAGCGTAAGACTGGGTAGGCAGTCAGAGAGACAGAACTGTAACGAGATAGCTCTCTACCCACACTGCTGCTGTTCTGTGCCCGACAAACGTGAAAGGCACCTTAGTAAAACATGGGGCTGGTTTGTCCTGACAGTCATTTGCACAGCTTTTGCACAACTTTTAGAAGGTATTTTCTTCCTAATATCAAATGGAGAGCACAGCAATGCAAGTACTAGAGCCCATTAAAAAGCAATACTATTCTTCACAGCATTCTCTGCCATTTATGTAGGAAGAGAAGCAGCCAGCATCCCACCTCCAGCTGACACCTTTATCCATTGTCAACATGAAAGTCTTTTCCTCTTGCAGTTGCGTATGTATTTCACCAATGGACAAAACAATTCTTCTTCACTACCTGCTCTGGATTACATAGCCCAACAAATCTGGCCAGCTGTTAAAATATTGACTAAAATAAGGCTAATGAATATAGCCTTGAATGCCTTGGAAACTTCAACCAACTGACAAGGTATCATTAATTTCACGTTATAGATGATAAAAGTGGAGCTTTCTGAGGTTAAGGGTTAAGAAGCCAAAGAGCATTGATTTAGCTCTTCTTTTTATTTTTGCCCCAGAATTTTAGCCTGGCTTTCTCAAAAACAACAACAGCAGCCATTTCTCGAATGCACACTAAATCATACAGTATTGTACTCAGTTCCATACAAGCATACTTG